CATCATCATCATCATTACCTTTCTCAGTATGGATCAGGGTTTAGGCCCCAAGCGAACACTTTCCATTTTCACCTTTCCTTGTCTAGCTTCTTGACATTATTCCATGTCTTTCAACTTTTCTGTGCATTAGTCTTTGTGATTCTGCTCCAATTTCTATAGGGCTTTCCTCTTTATCTTTTACTTTGTGGATTCCAGTCCAACCTTTTCCTTGTCATGCAGCTTTGGTACCGGTACCTGACCTTTTGAGAGTGAGTTATTTACTTTTGTTGGTTTTGAAGTTTGAAGTAAGCAGTTCTGAAAGCTGTTATCGGAAGGGGTATAGACAAAAAATCTTTATGATCAGGGCAGTTTTTCATCGCAGTTTATGAAACTGGCGGGTTTGTAGTGGCCAAGTGGTCAAGGAGTTCAGGCTCACAGTAATGTCAAGCATTGGTTGATGAAACGGTATTCAGATGGGTAGTTACTGGGGTGTGCTTTGAGCAAGAAAATAACCCCAGCTAAAACAGGGCGATGGAGTGTGGCGGTCGACAATGGCCATTTGTAAACTTGTCTGCACTGATGTGGTGATATGATATTATGCATTTGGTAACATTGATGAAATATTAAATGATTTACATTATAATAATATTTTTGCCTTGTTTTGTGTGTTTAAGTATGAATGTAGTGTGTGTGTGACGCATGGGAGCACACTTCTGTACTATTAAATTGTAACCCGAATTTCCCCATCGGAATCAATAAAGAGGACTTTGCTTTGCTCGATCATTTCATTAGTTTGTGCCCTGACTGTGCCCAATCACCTTTTCCAGTACCTCTCCATGTCTGTTTGATTTGTAGCTTACTCTGACAAATAAAAGAACTTGGTCATCTCTTGGTGCCTGATCATACACGAAACCAATCCTGCCTACTGTTGCTATACGCACGTGTGTTTATTTATTTAAATAATTTATGTTATAATTACCTTAATATGGGAGAGCAGCTCCTGACAGACCCAGTTGGAGAGCAGCAGTCACAGTGGGCAGCATAGATGAGACTTCACAATTAATAAGAAATGCTGAAATCAAGAGAGAAGCCTTCAAGCTGCACACATCCACCTGTGAACATGAGCTTTTAAATGTTCAAAATTTAACAAACTTTTCTCTGCAAGAATTGGTCTTATTGGCCACAGCAGAAGCCACATGGCATCACAACATCTAATAATTCAAATTTTTCTATTTCACTCTACAAATATTCTCCTCTGCGGATGTATTGGTCATCGTTAGACATTGACAAACAAGCTATTATTATTATCATTATAATTATAAATACATACATGAGACAAAGCCCGCATCTGTCACAGCACCAAAAGATTCCACAAATGCTTTGAATCTTACTATACCACATATAATAGTAACGTTGAGCTGTAGACATAGTAATGCATACTGTGTTATATAATAAGATCGATAAACTCTTATCCCTGTGCTTCTAAATCTAAGAGTGATGTGCGTTCATGGATCAACATCTATAGCGTTCGAGTAAAGTCTAAAGACACACTATCCACTGCCAGTAAATTTCGTGAGTGAGAATGTGTGTGTTTGTGTGTGTTTGTGTGTGTGCGTGTGTGTGTTGTTGTTGATGTGCTTTTCTGTCTTTTGATTCATATTCATAAGATAAGATAAGATAAGATACATCTTTATTGTCCAGATCCTGGCACATTGGTTTGGTGTTCCACCACG